CTATGTGAGTGTGTGAGTGTGTGTGTGTGTGTGTGTGTGTCTGCAGCTTGGTTGGCAGGATGAAGAGAATTATTTGAACCTGAAAGCCTTCTGCGATCAGAATTTCCTCTTCCTCCAGAAATGGCAGTCGTTTTCTATTAAGGTCTTCAGGTGATGACACGAGTCCAGTCTACAATAAGAAGGATAATCTTCTGTATACAGATTCTAAGGATTTATGTAAGTATTATCTAAAACATGGAACTCGCCAAACATGTAGAATAATCTTTGACCAAATATCTGGATCTTGTGGTGCAATCAAGTTAACACATATGATACTACTATCACATATTGTTTACTAATTCACAAATCTAAGCATTTTAAGTTGCTTCTAGTTTTTGCAGATCATGAATAAAACTGATAAAAACATCTATGTGACAGGGCCAGCGCTGTGGTGTAGTGGGTAAAGCCACCGCCTGCTGTGCCGGCATCCCTCATGGGCGCTGGTTCGAGTCCCAGATGCTCTACTTCTGATCCAGCTCTCTGATATGGCCTGGGAAAGCAGTAGAAGATGGCACAAGCCGTTGGGCTCCTGCACCCATGTGGGAGACCCAAAAGAAGTACCTGGCTCCTGGCTTCGGATCAGCACAGCTCCAGTCATGGCAGCCAATTGGGTAGTGAACCAATGGATGGAAGACCTCTCTCTCTCTCTCTCTGTGTGTGTGTGTGTGTGTGTGTAATTATCTCTCTGACTTTCAAATAAATAAGTAAATCTTTTTAAAATGTCTATGTGCCTATTTTTGTGTGAGCATATGTTTTCAACTTAATTGAAAAAACACCTAGATGGTCAGCGCCTTGGCTCACTTGGCTAATCCTCCACCTTCAGCACTGGCACCCCGGGTTCTAATCCAACTTGGGGCACCGGGTACTAGTCCCAGTTGCTCCTCTTCCAGTCCAGCTCTCTGCTGTGGCCCGGGAGGGCAGTGGGGGATGGCCCAAGTGCTTGGGTCTCTGCACCCTCATGGGAGATTGGGAGGAAGTACCTGGCTCCTGGCTTCGGATTGGCACAGTGCCGGCCATAGCGGTCATGAGGGGAGTGAACCAACGGAAGGAAGACCTTTCTCTCTGTCTCTCTCTCACTGTCTATAACTCTTTCTGTCTCTCTCTATCTCTCTCACTGTCTAACTCTGCCTGGAAAAAAATTATTTTTTTTTAAATGAGATGTATAGTTTGGCACATGCTCAATCGGACTTGCCCCAAACAGTAGAGTTAGAAAAGTACCAGGGGATTCCAATTCAATCCCATCAAGGTGGCATGTACCAATGCCATCTCACTAGTCAAAGTGATCAGTCAGTTCATAATTGATCACAATGATAGAATTGGGAGTCAAAGGGATCACATAAACAAGACTAGTGTCTGCTAGTACTAACTGATAGAATCAAAAAGGGAGAGAACGATCCCACACGGGAAGCAGGATACACAACAGACTCATAGAATGGCAGATGTCCTAAACAGCACTCTGGCCTCACAATCAGCCCTTAAGGCATTTGGATCTGGCTAAAAAGCCCATGAGAGTATTTTAGGCATGGAAAGCCAAGACACTCTGGCAAAAACAAAACAAAACAAAAACAAACAAACAAACAAAACCCTAAATGAAAGATCTCAGTGAGTGAGATCCCAGGGGAAAGAACGGACCATCAAAGAAGGAGGTACCTTTCTCTGAAGGGAGGAGAGAACTCCCACTTTGATTATGACCTTTTCTAAATATGATCAGAGTTGGTGAACTCAAAAGGCTTCCATAGCCTTGGCAACTCATGACAAGAGCCTAGGGTGATTATTGATGCCATAAACTAGAGTGTCAATTTGCTAAATCAACAACAGGAGTCACTGTGGACTTACTCCCCATATAGGATCTCTGTCCTTAGTGTGTTGCACATTGTGAATTAATGCTATAACTATTACTCAAACAGTACTTTACACTTTGTGTTTCTGTATGGGTGCAAACTGTTGAGATCTTTACTTAATATATCCTAAATTGATCTGTATATAAAGATAATTGAAAATGAATCTTGATGTGAATGGAATGGGAGAGGGAGAGGGAGATGGGAGGGAAGTTATGGGGTGGGGGAGCCACTGTAATCCAAAAGCTGTACTTTGGAAATTTATATTTTAAATAAAAGTTAAGAAAAAATTAAAAAAGAAAAAACAACTAGAAAGCAAGTTTCTGGACCATATGTGAATATTATGTTTAGCTATGTAAAGAACTACTAAATTATCCTACAAAATGAATATTTTATTTTACCTTCCAAAGACAATGAATGATACAGTTCTTTTACACAGCATCCTCTCCAGTATTAAGAATTGTTGATTTTTTTTTCCAAAGTACAGCTTATGGACCACAATAGCCTCTTCCCCCCCGTATCTTCCCTCCCACCCACAACGCTCCCCTCTCCCCTTCCCCTTCACATCATGATTAATTTTCAAGAGAATTGTTGACTTTTTAAAAATGTTTTTCATTCCATTATATTTAGCTTTATGGGACAGTTTGAGTAAATTTTATAGAGCAAAGCCTGGGTCTGAATTCTTTTTTCCCTCTTTTTACATATGATTGTAAATTATTTCAGCAACATTTGTTGAGAACACTGACTTTTCTCCACTGAACTACTTTTGTTCTTTTGTCAAAGATCAGTTCAGTATATTTGTACGGGTCTATTTCTGGACTCCCTCTTCTATGCCATTGATCTAAAGGTATGTTCTTTCTTTATGACCGCTCTTTGTGATGGCTGTGGATTCACACTGAGTCCTAAAGTCGGTAAGTGCCAATTTTCCAGCTTTGTTCTTCTTAATTAGGATGTTGGCAATTTCAAGTCCTTCGCTTTTCTACATAAACTTTAGGATTTGTTTACCAATATTCATAAAAAAGGTTGCTGGGATTTTTATTGTTATTGCATTGTGTCTATCAAATATATTTTTATCTCCTAAATATTTATTAAGCTGATCTGCCTCAATACCAGCTACTCCAATCACGAGTACTATGACTGCTGTTACTGCTGCTGCTACTATAGCTTCTTCCTTATTTAGGTTTTGCTATGTCTTTCTTGGAATAGCAAGAACTGTCTGGTGTGTCTCCTGCCTCTAACCTTGTTCTCTTCTAATGTATTCTTTAGAGAAGTTTTTAATTAAAGGAATCTTGGAATTTAAATCCCTGTAATGTTTTCTCACATGAGAATAACTTTCATACCCCTTAACATGTCACACAGCGCCCCCTTATGTGTTGCTATTTCTGTAAGTCACCTCTCTACCTTATTCTCATTGTTCCAAAAATTACAGACCTTTTGAAGTTCTTCATAATCCATGTTACTACTCTCATGTGTGTCTCATCACTACTTTCTTTCATGAAATGCCCTTCCCCTGTCCGTCAACTTAGAGGGATTCTGTTTCCAGATCCCTCAAGAATTTATTTTGAAACCCATACTTTCACTACTTCCTTAATTGTCCACACATCTTTGTATCCCTATACTAAACAAGGAATCTTAATTTTCTAATGTGCCTACACGCTCCTGTGGCTGACTTAATTCAACTTCTTTTTGATGTACTTAGCATGATTGACGCATTTTTAGTGCTAACTAAAAGTTTATTGAGTGAATAACAGAGGAAAACATGACTGAAACTGTGCTGTTAATTCAAGTGCTGGTAGAATTTACACTACATGATCTTGTGGGTATTTTTTTAAAGATTTTTCTTTTTTTGAAAGTCAGATTTGGCGGGGAGAGATGGAGAGCAAGAGATTGATCCTCAAGTTCACTCACTCCCCAGGGGGCCACAATGGCTAGGGCTGAGCCAGGTTGAAGCCAAGAGTCAGCAGTTTCTTCTGGCTCTCCCAAGTGGGTGGCAGGGGCTCAAGCACTTGGGTTATCTTCCATTGCTTTCCCAGGTCATTAGCAGGAAGCTGGGTCCTAAGTGGAGAAGCCAGGTCTTGAGCCCACACTCACATGGGATGCAGGCATTACAGATATCAGCTTTGCCCATTGTGTCACAACACTGGCCCCTTGATTACAACAAATAGTTTCCAAAGACCAATTCATATGATAAAAGTCATTTGTTCTTTTTTTTAAAACTTTTATTTCATAAACATTAATTTCCAAAGTACAGCTTATGGATTACAATGGCTTTTTCCCCCAATAACTTCCCTCCCACCCGCAACCCTCCCATAAGCTTCTCCCTCTCCCATTCCATTCTCATCAAGATTCAATAATCTTCATATACTGAAGATCAATTTAGTATATATTAAGTAAAGATTTCTTTTTTTTTTTATTTTTGCAATGTCTACAGTATAATCTTATCATTTCTAACACATAGAAAACAAATAAGGACAAAATGATGAGTTGATTTTTATTAATGCATTCCAGTCTCAGGAATTAAAATCAACTGCTCAGTATACAAAATTTTCAAGTTATATTAGTCATAGAACTTTGTGTGTGCTTAGTTAAAATGGTGCTAAATAGATTACCTGAACACAGTAATGTTGTCCCTAATGGCATTGATTTTAGCATTTCTATAGCTAACCAGAGCTTACAAAAAAACAAACAAACAAACAAACAAACAAAAAACAACTTGCAGGCTTTTGAATTGAACATCCATGACAGTACACATATTTCAACTTACTGATAATACAGTATGCTTGATTCAGACTGAATTTTGTCAGCTTACTCTGAAATTAAAATTTGAATGTTTTTAAAAAATTAAGTTGATGTAAGTAGAATAACCAGTACATTGAAATGGTTACTGTCATAAATGTTGATAAACAAGGAAGTAGGGGATTTCACTCTCAAGTCACCAGTAGTTTGAATTACTGTACACAGTGTCACTTACAAAACTAGAACAAATTGTATGTAGAGCTGTTTAGTCTGGTGACAGCAGATACCAAGATACATAATTTACACCAAAACAGTGTTTATCCAAAAATATTTTTTACAGCTAGTAGTTCTTCCCTTGGAGATAACGAAAACAATACCATAATTTTTAATAACCAAGATTCAGAAAAATCAAAACAATTTTAGTTAGGAATCAAATATACAGAGGTTCAAAAAAGAAAATGTCATAGAAGACAAAGATCAATCTGGCATCCAGAACAATTTTTGTAAAATAGGAACGCAATTAAGATAGCTTGCACAGTCTTAGATTATTCTAGTGAGTGTCCTCACATACTACAAGTGTTTTCATAAACGTTTCCTCAATAAAGGGCCCTGAATGTACATTAAAGGATGCTTTCCAGGAATACAGGTGAAGGTACTCTCATTTTGTTTAAACCACAAACTATTTGGTCAAAGAAATATGTAAAGCTAAATAAGAGCACATCTGGTAGAAATCCTTGGCGATGAATGTTGACAAGATGTGCTTGGATCTCGCTCGCAGCATCTGGCAGTGGGTAGCAGAACAAAGGTAGGAATCTCACAGGCCCTCCTGTGTCTGTTCTGGAACCGGCTCCCCAGAGGTGGCATTGCATTTGCAGTCGAATTCAAGACTTCTCCAAAATCCCCACCAGCAGGCTTGGTTCCTCCTACTTTAGACTTTAAGTTTTCAACTTTCTCTTCAAAGGATTTGAAGGTTGAGGAGTTTTTTACGTCTTCCAGCTTTTTGGTGATGACCGAGCCAACAGACGAAAATGCAGCAGAAGCCTTCTGCCCAGCCTGAAACAAGGTTTCAGATGTCTTCTTGTACGCAGACGTTGCCGTCACATCTTGACACCCTTTGGCAATGTTCTGCTTTAGTTCCTGCAGTGAGTTGATTCCTAGCTTCCGCTTGATCTCTGCTAGATGCTTCTCTTTTGCTGCTAACACCTGAGACAGAGTCTGGATTTCTTCTTCTACCTTGGCGAGTTCCCTTCTCAGCTCTTCTTGCTCCTCCTCAGACAGCGTCTCGGTGGCACTGGTGGTGGCCGCGGCATCTTCTGCTTCCTCAGGCACTGTGTCCGTCCTCAACAGACCGCATTCCTGAAGGGTCAGAGATCCGGGTGGAGAAACATTCCCGCTAGGAGAGAGGTAGAGGTAGCTTTTGTTCATGCCTGTGTCAAAATCAAACGGGGACTGGTAGTCCTCATACAAATCCATCTCTTTACAATCCATTCCAGGCAAATGCGGAGGTCAAGGCTCTGTGAGTGCATGCACTCATCCCTCAGCTGAGCGCCGCGCTGGCCACAGACCCTTCGCTCCGTGCCTTAAGGAAAGATTTCATGAGTTTGCACCCACACAGAAACACAAAGTGAAAAATACTGTTTGAGTACTAGTTATAGCATTAAATCACATTGTACAACACATTAAGGACAGAGATCCTACATGAGAGTAAGTGCACAGTGACTCCTGTTGTTGACTTAACAAATTGACACTCTTGTTTATGGCATCAGTAATCCCCCTAGGCTCTTGTCATGAGTTGACAAGGCTATGGAAGCCTTTTGAATCCGCCAACTCCGATCTTTTTTAGAAAAGGTCATAATCAAAGTGTAAGTTCTCACCTCCCTTCAGAGAAAGGTACCTCCTCAATTTGGGACATGCTCAATCTGACTTGCCCGAAATGGTGGAGTTAGAAATGTGCCAGGGGATTCCAATACAATCCCATCAAGGTGGCATGTACCAATGCCATCTCGCTAGTCCAAGTGATCAATTTCAGTTCACAATTGATCACACTGATAGGTCTAAAAGTCAAAGGGATCACAAAAACAAGACTAATGTCTGCTAATACCAACTGATAGAATCAAAAAGGGAGAGAACGATCCAACCTGGGAAGCAAGCTACACAGCAGACTCATAGAATGGCAGATGTCCTAAACAGCACTCTGGCCTCACAATCAGCCCTAAAGGCATTCGGATCCAGCTGAAAAGCCCATGAGAGTATTTCAGGCATGGAAAGCCAAGACACTCTGGCAAAAAATAAAAAAAAATAAAAAAAAGACCTAAATAAAAGATCTCAGTGAGTAAGATCCCAGTGGAAAGAATGGGCCATCCAAGAAAGAGATACCTTTCTCTAAAGGGAGGAGAAAACTTCCACTTTGACTATGACCTTGTCTAAATAAGTCGTTTGTTCTTTTAACAGGTGTTCACCTTTTGTAGTTCTCAATATTTGTTATCAATTTTCTTCCTTTTGCAATATTAGCATGGCAATTTTTTTCTTCCAATGCCAATTAGCCTCTTACCACATACTTGCATTAAGTCAACATTGAGCATTACTCAAAAATCATTTTACATTTGTGAATGCATTCCCAACCTATATTTTGATATTTTAATTAGCAAGCTAAATATTTATTTTTAATCTCTATTGACTCTTGTCAAAAAGCTATCAGATCAAGCTTTTGGCATAGCACTTAAGATGTCACTTTGAATGCTTACATTCTATGATGGAGTATTTGGATGTGATTCCCAGCTCTGCTACTAATTCCAGATTCCTGCTAATATTTACCCTGGGAGGCTGCAGGTGATGGCTTAAGTGTTTGAGTCACTGTCATCCATGTGGGAAACCTGGATTGAGTTCCAGGCTCCTACCTTTGGCCTAGCCTAGTCTTGCCAGTCTTGGCTTTTGTGAGCTTTCCAGCAGATAGAAGGACTCTCTCTCTCTCTCTCTCTCCTTCCCTTTCCCTGTCTCTCTCTCTCTCTCCATTCCACCATCTCTCTCTTACTTCTTCTTCCAAATAAAAATAAATTTAAAATATTAAATTATAAAAAATTCAAAAATATAAAAATTGGCTGTTTTCTTTCTAATGTCTTTTACCTAAGAATTTTGATTAGGGATATATAAAAATAAAATTTATTTCAGGGTAGTAAACGAAATGGCTTAGAATTAATGGAAAATATCCCATTATTTTACACTCACACAAATAAAATTCCTCTTCCTTTGACTGTTGGTCATTTGAGAATTTAGTTGAAGGTGTTTGTATGAAATTCAGAGTACATTAGAAAGCATATAAAATAAGTGCCCAAAATAGCTTATTTTAGCACTTCCCAAAGTCCTAATTTCAAATGGGAAGCCTATTCCAATTCTGAGCCATTTCTGTGGAGGAAGATTACAAATTTCATTAAATTTCCTTTGTTTTTGCTTTCAAAACAATTTTTTGGTTTTCTATCTTTCATTTAGTTTGGCATGGAACAAAATATGGGCATTAATATTATCATAATATTTACTATAATGAAAGAGAATTGCTATAGCATTGTACTTTTCAAGTCACTATCTCAGAAAACTCAACACCAGCTACTGTTTATTTAAATTTTCATTTTATTGAGATTTCAGGATCATTTGGATTGGTTTTTACCAATACTGATTTCTGGTTTCTAGACTGAGAAAACTTCATTTAGGAAATTTATTTCCTGAGGAATCGTAGTGATTTTGCTTTCTATCATGCAGAATGTAGTATAAACTACAATTTTGAACCGCATTTACTGCTCTTAATATTAAGGAATATTTTGACATAAATATAGTTTTAGAAACAATTATAGATCCAGTTAGACCACACACATTTATGAGACATTACTATTGGCACTATCAATTCATGAATAATATGTTAAATAATAGTACTATATAAATGTAGTTACTATCGATGTTCAGGTAGATATTACTGGCTTATATATACATATGTATGCACATTAATGGATGTGTCCAGTCATACATTCATAAATGTATAATGAAATTCATTTGTTAACTAAGCTTTTGCTTATCTCTCCATTTTATGTAAAGGAGCACTTTTAACTTCATCATTCACTTATAAACCAATTAGTTTCTAAGGCATTCAATATGATCTTTTCTTTAGAGAAGAAATTCTAATTGGAGTTCTGAGATATGAATATGTGCATAGTGGTAAAATATAGATATATCATTATTGCACTTAATGGGTAAAAACTTGAGGGAAGAGCATTTTGGACACATAGTACAATTTAAGTTCAATAAATTGCATTTCTATATAGAAGACTTCTGGAGGCAGAATAATTTTTTGGCATTTTAAAATCACTTTATTATACACTCAGCTTCTCTGGATCAGGAAAAGCAAGAGGGAACAGCTCCTCTCTTCTCCATGATTTCTGGTACTGCAGCTAGGAAAGCTCAAATGAGTAGGAGTGATTTTTATGGGCGAGGTCTGGAAGTTCCATGATGACATTTTCATCCCCTTTCTGGGAAGCAAAATGTTTTTTGTTTTTTTTTTTTAAATGATCAAAAGTATCGCACTGAAAGTTGACTCATATAAAACTGTAACACAGTATTCCAAAATATTTTCTCATAAACCTTGTTAATATTTTTCCTTGAAAAGAAGATATCTAATCAACTCTTGGGAGGAGAGCTGTAGATCTTTACACATTCAGGTGTGAGGGCAATTGCTTTTCAGAAGTGTCTTGTTGCTTTATTTATTTTATTTTTTACAAAGTGAGAGGAAGAACAGGATTTATTGCAAGGCAAAAGGATAGTACACACTCAGATGTGAGTTCCAGCAACTTGAAGAGAGACAATCAACCACACCCAGAGTGGGGTCAGCCTTTGAAAGGTGGAGGTGGTGCTCAGGGCAAGGCCTGATTGAAGATTCAAAAGAGGCCTGATTTGTGGTTGACCTGCAGCACATGTGGTCAGACCCATAAAGTGTTATCATACCTGAATCATGATGTTAAGCGAGGTTTAGCTGTGTGGTGGAGTGGGAATGGCAAGTCCTCAGTCATGCTGAATCACAGGGAAGGTGATGGAGTGTGGGAAGTGTACATGGCTTGAGCACTGGCAGCCCTTAGCTCCCTCTCATGCTCACCGCTTACTACCTCACCTACATCACTGAAAGAATTCATTGCAGAGGAGGGGCACTACAAAATCCTAAAAGTTATTTAGGCCAAAAGGAAAATTATACCAATATAAATCAGAGCTACAGAATGAATGACTGGCAAAAGAAACAGTAAATAAAAACATGCAACATTCATAAGCATTATTTTGTTTTGACAGAATTTACTGAATCAGAGAGGAGAAGATAATACTAAATCTCTCATTTTGCAGTGCTAATGACATGGACAAACCACTGACAACTGAGAACAGCCACCTTGAGGGCCTTGTGACAACAAATTGACTTCAACTTCAAATTAATGACCCAGTTATAAAGGATTTCACCCTAAGAAAGAAATGAAGATGCAGATCCTAGGAAGGTAGCAGAGTAGGAAGCCCCAGAAATAATTATACAGCTGGAACCCTGGCTACAACTATTTTGGAATTATGGAGTTCAATAAATATTTGAAACTTACAGAGGAACAAGCCACAAGCAAGAGTGTCAATTTGTTAAGTCAACAACAGGAGTCACTGTGCACTTACTCCTCATGTAGGATCTGTCCTTAATGTGTTGTACATTGTGATTTAATGCTATAACTCGTACTCAAACAGTATTTTACACTTTATGTTTCTGTGTGGGTGCAACCTGACGAAATCTTTACTTAATATATACTAAGTTGATCTTCAGTATATAAAGATTATTGAAAATTAATCTTGATAATGGAATGGGAGAGGGAGTTGGAGACGGGAGGGTTGCAGGTGGGAGGGAAGTTATTGGGAGAAAAAGCCATTGTAATCCATAATCTGTACTTTGAAAATGTATAGTCATTAAATAAAAGTTTAAAAAAAGAAATTTGCAGAGGAAAGCCTGTATGGTAAATTATGGTCAATTTTGTTATATTTAAACCCCCAGCACAGTAGCAACTACCAATCCCCACCCTTCAGCTCTGTGACAGGAAGCTGTGTGTGTGTTACAGAAGTAACTTACACAGCTTGAGGGAACCATAGTGGGGAGAAACTGTACTCCCAACATGCAGGATCTGTGCTATGATGTTGATTGCTTCTTCTGATAATAAATATGAACTCAAAAAGAAGTGGTAATTATTTTGCACTTCCTTTCATTGTTACACTAACCATGCTCCTGTCTCTTTTATCTAAAATGATGCCAGGAGATTTAGCATGTTAATCCCTTTATTTTTCCATTTGCATGCATTCTTTTTCTGCTTTGGAGCAAGATTCCGAAGACTACTTTAATGAAAAGTAGACACATAGATGTAAGAAATCAGCATATAACTGCACACATGCAGACGTAGGCAAAGAAGAGATCTGGCAAGTTCTTCAGTTTATACCTCAGGGTAGTCTTTGGTATG